AGTTTAAGGGGTATTTATCACTGACCCCAATAGTACATTGGGGTCTTTGTAATTTACCCAAAAAATATTCCTTTTCAATATTAAAAGTTAAAACAGCTCGATGAAGATTGTTAAAAACCTTTGATGTTATCATCAAAGGTTTTTTAGTCAAGTTTATACAAAAGGGGATCAAGTTATCATCTCCATCCTCTATAAATGGGGCCAATTGGAATTCCAAAGCCCTATCTTATGTTCAAAATATATAATTTTTTAAGTTGAACTTTTGGTTCATTTGTATCACCAGTAAAGTGAATTTGTAAGAATCACCACAAAAGAATAAGTAATAAACATGTCATATCTAGGGGGTTTCCTATCTAGTGGACAGTTTGGATCGGATTAATACTCCTCATTGTCGAATTCCATTGGTAGGGTCATCCCAAAATGAGGCCATACAGACCCCATTCCACTACCCGATAGTAGTGGTGGCACTGTTGCTGATGATAGCTGTACTAGTGTCTAGTGGTGGTAGTAGTCCCAAGCTAGCACTCCATATTGGAAGCCAAAGTTTTCTTCTTCTTCTTCTATGTATTACAATCTTCAAAAAGTGAAAGAATCATACTAATATGGGAGAAACTGTAGCCTCTATCTTCATAGGGCCAGTGGGACTCGGTGTCATATAAAGTGGTACTAGTGCCAAATGCCAATACAGGAGGGTTGTGTGATCACAGTTCATTTCCATGTCATCAATTCTATAGAATTTTTCACATACTAACATTTTTGGGCCTAATCATGGGTGGGATATGAGTGTTTTGGTCTGACAAAAAAAAGATCAATTGCCCTGATGTATTTCATCCAGACAAGTCAAACGAAATCATTTTCTCCCTATACTTACAGATAACTTTAGGTGAATTGTTGGCTTGTCATTGGTGATTGTAAGTAAAGCCTGTAATTCTTGGTCACAATAGATTTATAGTCCTCAGTAGTAGTCCAGTGTTTGTTGAGGACTCCAAAATCACAAACTATGAATTGATCCACCCAACTACCTGAGCTTATTTTCTAGTCTTTGCTACTGTTTGGTTCACAATTGTTTTTTTTTTTTGGTGTGATTGCAATCCAAA